CACAACAAAAAACAAAACAAAATATAACAAAAACGAAACAGACCATTAGAGCCCTAAGGGTTTAAAGACAAGTCGTGCAGGAAAATGATGGCATCTAATGTGTCGGCTCTCATGACGCTTCTCTTGTCCATTACGAATCCTGCTAAACTAAAGATGCTCTCGCACGGAGCACTGGATGCCTGCTTTCCAAGTGTGCGCCTAGCTAGGCGAAACAGGGCAGGCATCGTGTTCTCCTAGAAATAAAAATAAGGTTAAAAATACTTTATTATAATATGCATTAAAAACATTCTGAAAAATGTTATAAAGGATAAGGCTGTACCCGTGATTTCCAGTACTCAAGCAGATCTTTGAGGTCGACGTTCACCACCGTATCGTCCATGTACTTCTCCACGTCAGGTTTGGGAAGGGTATCGATGAGGGGTTGGTGCCGCCACTCATCATACCCATTTTCCATGGGGCTGGGGTTGTGGAGGCGAGGGCTCTTGGGGGCCCCGCTCCCGGGGTCATCAGCACTCTGCTCCTCATCGAACTCCAGCATTGATACCACCTTTGATCTGACCTATAATTCAGTTAAAGAATTAGGCATAGGCAATGCATCTCATTACGATTTCCGACAGGAAATTTTCGACGGGAAAAACAATAGCAAATTAACGATAGTTTACCTCTTCAGCCTCCTCCATGGTGAGCATCAGCAGTTGTTTATATGGAGGCCACAAAAATGTGGCAATTTTGTGCTGCATTGTCACAGTGAATTTGTCCACTAGCTCATTAAGCCCCCTGCTCCGAAGTTGCGCCATAAGGTGTGAGTGAGTCGGCATGGTTGGGGCTACAATGTCGCATGAGTTTGGCATGTGCGAGAGTCACTAGAGGTAATTCGCTTTTTCTGGGCTACACGATCGACCAACAAGATCATCTGAAAAAGACAAGACCGTATTATGATGCACGATTTACACCAGTGTAATGTTTTAACAGTTAAAAATGTTAATACGCCACGGAGCTTAGTTTTGAAGTGAACCGTTCGCTTCTTTACATGCGACGGTTCGAGCGGGTTTGCCTACTTGTAGGGATCATAGACATGGCGCCTTACGGGCAGAGCGAGTAGGCAAACCGCCCCCACGATCGCGTGCAAAGAAACGCGCGGGACTGTTACTGTGCCCACTTTTTGTCAACGGACTCAAACATTCTACAAAGGGTATTCCACCTGGTGTCGCACTCCTGTTTTAGTGTTGACTCTAGCACGTCTACGTTGCCCGAGGTTTTTAGCCACGTCACTAATTCCTAGTTAAAATATAGAAGAAAATTAAATTTTAATAGAATAACACAAAACAATGAGGGGGGGGGGGGGGGGGCATTTCGACTTTGCCCCCG